TTCCCTCTACAAACTGTATTTTTGTCATATTCTCCCTGCCTTGGGAATACAGTAGCTCATGCTGACCTTTGAGTAGAACGATTGATTATATGAGGGCACAAAGACTACAATGAGAAGAGTTTGGAGCAAACGGAATAAAGCATGTGAAAGGCCCTTTCTGCAGAAAAAGAAATGCTGTCTAGAGCATAACGTACAATAACAAGGACATACTAGTATTGGAGATTTGGACTTTCAATTCTGCCTTGAGTTTTTTTAAGACATCAAATCTTCTCATCACAACAGGCATAAATTTCAATACTACTTCTATGCTTTGAATTTTAAAGGACAGAAACACTCAAATTCAGAACTCCTAAATGTAGTTGTATAGATTCCTGCTTGCAGCCAGTAAGCCTCTTAGTTTCAGCCCATATTCCTTGCCTAGACCATATTGATAGAAAGCTCAGGTTGTACCTTTGGCATGGTGAACATATAGAAGACATCATAATGCGTAAAAAATGTACAAAACATGCTTTAGTTCCCTACAAGTGCAAACCATAACATACAAGTGAGGGGGATGGTGTGTGTGTCTGCTCTGGAAAGCATCATGGCCACCATCCTCATCCTGTATAGTCTCCTAGGATTCATGTCCTCCACGCAAAATCACTAATTGAGTTTTATTGTTTAGCTTATTATACTTATTATATACATAGATTCTTCAGTTATAATGTTTTAAAAGTTGATGACATTTCAGTATGTTTTGAATACCCACTAGTGTTGTTCTGCAGGAAGGCTGGCAGGCATAATCAACTCATTCACAGATAAGCTCACTTACAGGTAAATAGGCTATTTTCAAAGCAGTATGGGCAGCAATATTATGCAGCCATTAAAAACGGGACTTGCCAATAATTCTACAGTAGGAAGAAATATTCAAGATACAATACTGTTAAAAAGAAGATGCAAAACTGCATACATTATGATTTAAATAATGCTAAAATAATGTGCACATATGTGTAATGTATATTTCACACACAGGAGTACATACACATCCATATTTCTGGGGATTATGTATGATTTTTATTTGCTTATTCAGACTTTTCTGTAATTTCCATATCTTCTATAATGAATATTAATTAAAAGCCAGTCAAGCCTTATTTTAAAAATATCCCTGCAGACTTAATTAAAGCCTCATTAAAATGTTTCCCATTGTTGCAGGATGCAGACAACCTACTAGGTAAAACTGTCACATAATGAGGTTCTTCTAATGTCTCCATGATTACATCTTTTGAGATAGAGTCTCAATCACATTTGCCTTACACCAATTTTGTTCTAGAGGGGTCAGCAAACTTTTGAGAGGAGAAGAGCCGCCAGGGGTCAGCAAACTGTGGCTCACAAGCCTTTGAAGTAAAATTGAAAATGAAAATAAAACAAAACTTTCATAGTTTCATTTATAAAATTTTTAAAGGACACTATTCACATAATGGTGATTATGAAAAAATATATTTATGGCTCTTGAATAATTTTTAAATTGTTGTGAGGGACAGGATTGGCTCTTCCAGGGGTCGGCAAACTTTTGAGATGGAGTGTACCCAAAGAGCCACATGTGGCTCGTGAGCCGCAGTTCACCGAACCCTGTAGCAGCTATAGATAAGGATACTACAGAAGGCTAGTATGTTCATGAGTAAGCACAGGCTAGGCCACGTGGATTTGCACAACTCAGATGTCTCTTCAAACTCTACTTAATTTCCAATCAAAATTAATACTCTGGCCAAAATTAATAGTTAGCAATTTTAGTGATTAGAATTTCAAAGAAAATAAAATACTTATATTTCTCCTGGAAAAACAGAGTATTAGATAAACCTGTGTTAAATAGATTCCTGGTGTGCTTTGAATTCTTTTTCTCCATGTTGGAAGTACCTACTACATCCTGTCCATTTGAGGCACAGCGACCTTTTTTTTTTTTCCAGCCTATTAAATATGAGTATTCTCTCTCTCTCTCTCTCTCTCTCTCTCTCTCTCTCTCTCTACTACCTTAATAAATGTTGCCCATTCATTCCAACATAATATTTATTACATATCTTCATTTTTATCCTTCCTATCTGCTTTCCAATGTATTAAGATAGAAAGTAAAAGAAAATATTTTTTGTTTTATCCATGTAGAACTATCTCTATTATTTAGGCACTGATGGGTATGGAGTTTGCCTTTGACTACATATCCTCTGATGTTTTGGGCCTTTTTCTTCCTGCCCCTCAACTGTTCTTTTTCCAATGAGGGTTTGACATCTGTGTGACTGACAAAGATGCTCTTTGTTAGCTTGTGGCTAGAACAACTGAAATAAATCAGGGCTCTAATTTACTGAAGATTTAAAATATTTAAATACTCAATACAACCTGGAAGAGTACTTGGAACATAAATTGTTTTGGCCAGAACACCAAAAAAAAAAAAAAAGGCAAAGGGTTAAGTTTGAGGGCTTAGTTTAAAAATTAGCACATATGGCATAATTTATTTGAATAAATATAGTCCTCCTATTAGCTATGAGGTCAATTTAACTACCCAAGGTATGAATATAAACAGATATTTGTGGAAAGAAGCATCTCTGAGAAGAATGGGATGCTCTCTCAGTGATAAATAGATTTGACCTATGTATTGTAAGGAGATAGACTGAGCTCATTAATGAATCAATTGGACTATATGTACAAACATATATTTGGTATATTTCTGTATTTCTCTTTCAATTCTATACCGGGAGTCTCCAATGACTAGTGGAATAATACACAGACTACACTAGCCATTAAAATGGTTCTCAGTCAGGTATTTATCTTTACCTAATCTGGGAGGTGACATTCTCATGGACCCACTAATTTCAACATATGAATACCATAGTCCATTTTCTTCAGTATGAAAATTGAGTCAGAATAATGCTTTCCTTCTTCCCAAGTAAAATCACTTTATAGCATTTTTATTCATTAGTAGAATAAAACAGTAACTACAGGAAAATCATTTGTTTTTTGTTCATAGAATTCTTCTCTGGAACCAATAAAGCTTTGTGTATATTTAAACTTAATACTATAAATATATATATACATATATACATATATATACATATATATGTATATATATGTGCTATCAAACACAAAAGGTAAATGAATGAACGGTAAAATATGAAAGTTTATTAAAGGATTGGTTTGAAAGCATATATACCACCCCCTAAATCCTATTATTTGAAAAGAACAGGTTATATCTAACATTTAAAGTTCCTCTTGGGTTTCTAATCTTTCAGAGGTTCCAATGTCTCCCCTGATCAATTCAACTAACTTCAGAAGGCAAACATAGGCTAGCCTCAGTTTCCACAGGAACTTATTATTTTACAAGATGCATCTACTAGATGGTAGTCTGATTCCATCCTGTAGCACATATGTTGGTATTTGGAAATGTATTCTAAGATGACTCAAATTATTTCAAAGACATATTTTTCAAATAGTATGTGCAAAGTCAAAATAATTCATTTTAAGTTCTGGTTAAATTTCAGTAAATTATAGTAAATACTATTAATACTGCTGTATTTAGGTTGCAATCACTGATTTCCTTACAAATATACTGGGGGTACCAAAAAAATGTATACACATGACTTGTATTCACTCTTTGTTATCGGTCTATATGGAGTATTATAATTTTAATACAGTTTTTTCCTCTCTTAAAATGTGTATACGTTTTTTTGACACCCTCTGTATTCACAGGATTGATAATTTTAGTTATTTTAAATCATAGTTTAGTATAAACCATTTAGTATAAAGTCATCTCCCTTTTTTATTTAATATAAAAATAGAAACAACTTTTAGCTAGGTTGTGTATTTCAAAAGATCACTTGTTAGAATGAGATGTTATGGAACATACACTACAAAATTTAAAAAATTTTAAATTACAGTTTACCCTATATTCTTTCAAAGTGCATTTTTTTTCCTTTAAAAAGTTTGGATTCTGTAATTTTGGAAATACTATTAGTGCAAGAGTGATACCTTTGACCTAATGGAATACATTTTGAAGAATTCCAATAGGGGTTTACCCTATTCAAAGAGTCAGACATTTCTAAATGTTGCTAATAGAAAAATCCCGTCTATTTCTTGTACACTTTATCTTGTCAGTAGAAGTGTATTTGCATTAACATTAAACTAAAGTTTTAAAATACATAATCTCTAGGCCAAAATGTCTTGATAAGATAATATACTCCAATTCCTAACACAAAGCACTATTTTCCAAACAACTGGCAAGAAACCAAGATTGAGGAGAGTAATATTTCAGTGCCAGCACATGCAGTATTTGACATACAAGTATTAATACTTCAAATAAATAGAACAGAGGAAGAACGATGCTTTTTTTTTTTTTTTTAGCTGAGCCATCCTGCTGCCTATTGGCAGCTCAGCTCGGGCCGGGCATCGAAGCGCTGTTGCTCAGAGCTGGCACTCTTGAGCGAGCTCTTAACCAACTGAGCCACTCAGCCGGCCCTAAGAATACTTTCTTAACTCATCAGATGGCAACTTAACACAAAACTACAAACGCATAAAACAAGAAATCCTCCTACCTTACTGAAGGCAGAGAAGAATGACTTAAAAGAGGCAAGATGCGGGTTTAACTCTTAATTTCTTTTTTCTTGAACCTCAAACATAGTTAATGAACACACCATACTAAATACATAGGAATTTAAATGGTAAAGGTCATTAGATTTCAAAAGCAGCTCACTAATTGTTTCCAATTATTATATTTACACTATATAAAGTTATAATATTAGATAAATTAAAACAAAGAAAAAATCTAATGGGAGTAAATTACACTAATGAATTTTACTTGCAAAGCTAAATTGCAACAACTGACCATTTTCTCATGAATTATGTATTATATAAAAGCAGCAATACACAGGTTTGGAGGCTGGTAAACAAAGACCTAAAATATCTCAATAACTTTAAAATATGGTTGCCTATTTGAATAATGAACACTGTTATAGGTCTAGTTACAGAAGCATACATACCCTGTTCTAACACTTCTTCTTCTTCTCGTTTTGGCTGCTGGAGTAAAGAAGTCTTATCTTTGCTCTCTGTTTCTGTAAAAGATCAAAGGAGCCGAGCATAAATTTGCAGTATATATTATATACTTTAAATAGTTTATTGGAAATATGTCATCAACATAAGATATTATTCAGGGTCTTGTTTCATAAAAACAACAGAATTAAGAATTTATATGGTAGAAGTGCCCTAATTCACAAAAAATTATATAGCATAACCACCAATTACCAGACTTCTGACTTAATAACAAAACTGCTTTTAGTAATATATGCATATATGCATTACACAGAATTTTAAACATGCAATAATAAAACTGCTCATATTTGCTTTTTTAAAAATTGAATTTAGTAATATTTTAAGGCTATTTTAATAGCATTTTGAGGCATATTCCATAAATACCGGGGGTTACAAAAAAATGTATACATATGACTTCTACTCATCTTTTGTTCTTGGTGTATGTTATTACAATTTTAATACAGTTTTTTTTCTTTCTTAAAATGTATATACATTTTTTGGCACCCTATTTATATTAGGATCTTAATAAATGACCTGACTGCTGTATTAACTTCTTTCATAAACTTTCCACTAGAAATAAGAAGTTGTTCTGGCATTTTAAGATTGAATATGCAAAACTCAGTAAAGTTTAAGCATGCTTCCTTCAATAAAACGGTGTGGGCTTTGTAATTTTGAACTAAGTTAAAAAACAATTCTGAGAATGAGACAAAAAAGACCAAGACTAGTAATGCCTCATGAATCAAGAATTGTCTGTGTTTAAAGATGCTCATTAAACAGATGATTTAGAGTTTGGTTAGAGATGATAACCATTTTTGTTGGCAAACTGTAGCATTCTTTAGAACATGGGGTATAAATTCATAAATTGCATAAGTCATTACTGCTTATAGGAGGAATGAAATGGAGAAACTAGAAAACACTAATTAAATGGAGAAAGACCTACATTCATGAAATTGGTCCCCAAACTAATCTCTTGCATCACTAGTTGAGATTTTCCACTTTAACTCTTGATGGGGGCATGGCAGGGGGGGAAATAGGATATAAAAGAAGAAAAAGAGGGAATTGGGTTATGTGGGCACATGTGATTGCTTGGCAGAGGATGATTTTAAATATTAATCATATAGTTATGAGACACAGAAGGAAACGGAAAATACAAAATCATGTTACTTTGAATTACACACCGATTTTACCTTTGTGATGTCCATGCATCATAACCATATCAGGCTTTACAGGAATGGGAATATTGGCCTCTGGTGGTATGGTTCTGAACATATCTGGAGCTACATTCTGTGTACAGGTCATGAAAGAAACTGCATGCTTGGCTTCCATATAATACATAATGTATAAGTTGCACATTTCATCACTAGATGTGCCACTGCAGGCAAAAAAAAAAAGGAGACACAACAAATCAGCCACTCACATAAAACACATTCTTAATGCAAGAAAATGCAACCAGTAAATCTGCCAGCAATGGATTCAAAGGTGGAAATATTGTGAATTTATTTTATAGCTTTCATTAAAGCCCATCACAGTTTCCAATACCAAAAGCACATTTTCAAAGGTCGAGTTCCACTTAATAATGGAGTATCCGTTTGCAGTCACTCCATGGGTATCACCAAATACCGGGGATGGAAATGGCATTTAAGTAGCAGTGAGATCCTGTCTTCCTCTTCTAAACTGTTTCATTCCTTAGTCCTTTTTCCATTTGCTAAGACTCACAGGTTGGGCAAAGTACTTTTCTCATAAAAAATCGTAATTATTGACTTAATAATGGTGAAATTCAGAACACTTCAACAGAAACATCATATATTATTTACAAGTCTTTAAAACATTTTTTTTCCATGTAACCCCGAGAGTCTGGGATCTTGTTTTGGTTACTGCCTCCTCCCTCATGGTCAGATGAATCAAGAATCATGTGTTGATATTAAGACATCATAAACGTACCCCTGATATCTGACTTGGTACCTTGCCTTCTACAGCAGTGAAGAAAAGAGTGCATCAGGAATGATACAAAAGGAAATCAGCCCTCCTTTCTTCTCAGGGCTCAGACCCGAATGGGGTCGTGCTGTCCAACTGAATGACTCAGTGTTAAAAATAGATTGTACAACAGTGGGATGGACATTTCAAGAAAAAAGTTCCCACCAACATAAATTATGTTTAATAGCTTACAAAACATGGTTTGTTTTGTTTTTTTTTCTTCCTAGATTCACATGGGTTGCTATGTATTTCATTCTATGCACTATTATTAGGAAGGCATTATTTAGGTACACCTTCACAAAACTTTTATATACCGAGGTAATTTGGGCAAAGGGACATTTCCTATTTGGTGTTAACTTGGACAATTTTTAGCAAGCCTGTACTAATAAAAAACAAGCTGCCCAGTGGACTATGTGCTGTACAGAAATACGTCAGTGTTGATTTTTCCAGCAATGTCATGCAGCACTCACTTCCTCTCCATAGCAACAGTAATGACATCAGCAAGGGAAGGAACAAAATAAAAATCTTCTCCAAACAAGGATGTGGTTTCTCTCAGCTCTGAAAATGTAGGGCCCCTGCGAGACCACAGAAATGAGCCCTCACCATGGGAAGCGTTGTTTATGCTTTAAAAATCATTTGGCTTCTCACTCTCTGAACCCGATACCTGTCAGTGTAACTGTCTCTCCCGTGAAATATAAGTCTATGTTGAAGTGCACTCCCAAACACACACCTGTTCACTACACATATCTTTAGGTGTCAAAACACCATTCCTTAGAATTACATTTTAACAGCATTGGAGTTGGTCAGAAAATTATACACTATAAAAGGAATAGCTAGTGCCAAGGTAGTAAGTCAGAGCCTCCCGCCATATTATCCTCCCTCCCCCGGTTTAAAATGAGGAAAACATACAGATCATGAGAGAGAAATGAGGGAAAAGGAATTTAAACTGTGGCTCTAGCTTAGAAAACCTTGAATCATCTAGCAGAGAGGGGAAGCAAAATAATCAATATAAGTCTCTCAAATTAATGAACAGAAAAAAATAATAAATCTATATAACAATATAGATTTATTAAATAATAATAAATGAAACTTGCAACTCATCTATGGACAGATCCCTCCCTATTTTCTCTGGGAATATCCTGTCCATGTTCGCTCTAAAAACGTGATTTAATCAGACGGCCTTATCAATTCACCAGTGTAGTTCATTTAAGGTACTGATTCTACAATACAACAATTAAATTAAAATAATTTAAGGATCTTGGCTATCACAAAGAAAACTTCATTAAAGAGCTGAAGAAAAATAGTCATATTTTTTTTCCTTTCCATCTGTAATTAAACTTGTCATCAAGGTAATTCTGAGCTCCTCTCAGACAGAGAACTTATCATATCCTAAACATGTTAGGACTTAAATCATCCTTGAGGTCAAAATCCACTTTGCCTATTTTATTTCACATTCATCTTTCACTCAAAACGAAACAAACAAACTTGACTTTAGCCAGACGAATTGCTTTCAGTATCCCTAAGGGAAAATTCTGACATGCCCACCCTTATTCTCTGTAGAGAACAACTCTGCATTCCACTCTGTGGATCTGAATGATTAACAAGAGAAAGTATGGAGGGAGGCTGTGTTCACACACTTGCCCTGGCTCCATTGAGTGGGCCTTTAAACATCCCCTAATGCCAGTGGGATTCTCTAAATGATGACTGCTGGCATCACCTAGATTCCAAAATTACACTGGTGTATTTCTTTCATCTTCTTGCATAATACAGTGCTTACACAATAACTACTTCTTTATACCAGCTAGCTTTAAATCTGACAAAGTGTGGTGAGCCGGAAACAGTAAGCTTTCAATAAATATTTGTTGAATGAGGGAAGAATAAATAATCTATCTTAATAAATGTTTACAACTTATTATGGCATAAATGGTTAACCCTAATATATCATACTGCCAAATCAGGTTAATTTTACAAACTCAATTGATCTATGGCATTTCTGAAAAATATTTATATTCATCCATCTATCCGTCTGTCCATCCATCCATCCATCCATCCATCTATCCATCCATCCATCCATCCATCCATGTTCTGTGAGAGTTTTTATAAAAATAAATTATTTGATATTATAAAGACATATAATAGAAATTTTTTAAAATACCAGGTATTCTGAAAAGTCATTAAAAAACCCCAAATACTGTTGTACACCATGATTATGTTTCCGACAGTGACACTTGACTTTGATGATTCTTCCACCCCAGCCCTTGTCCTTTACACTCAATGAGAGTCATGAAAATAACCAATGATGGGTAATACTAATTTTGAAAATATGAAAACTTTAAGATGTTATTTTACAAAACTTGTAATTGTTTCTGAAGAGGTTTCATGGTGCTTTTAAACTTACACATTAAGGAGTTATTGATCATATAACTTTATCTTTGCATATAATACATTTTAAAATGCTGATTACAGTGTTGTGCTTGGTTATCTATGAATATTCATTAGTCATTCTCATATGTAGATGAAATAACTGGTTCCAAATGAACAATATGACTAACAAAATTGACCAAAGAGGTAAATATTATCTACCAATTCTCAAGAATTAAACATTTTAGCATATAAACATTTACGCAAATTAGCACACTTAATTAGATGAATCAACTGATTTAATTAAATTCTTTTTTGTTGTTTAAACTTAAACATTTGAAATGAATTTAGATAAATGTCACATTGAATATAAGATATGTAATGCAGTCAGGCACTTAATGTCGCTTCTTCACAGATTAATACTATGTTGTGAGTATACACATTGGTACAACTTTGTCCAAGATATATTATTCATATTTACTATTCTAAAAGAAATATATCTGGATAAAAAAATGTTACCATTAAGTATTTATTAATATGTTTTGCCTTAAATCCATTTATTTTTAATGGCTGTATTTTAAGGTGAAGCCTGGCATGGGAAAATCAGTGCCTGTTTTTTAAAGTGCTTTTTATTAGTTAACTAAATACTCTCTTAGTTCTACTTAAGCAAAGTTTTCTCCAGTCCTAGAATTTTCAGTTTAATACAGAGATTCGCTTGAATTGGGTGGAAGAATCATTCAATGGAAACTCTTCCTAGTAGGCCACTGATGATTCGATTTTCCTGTAAAACCTCGTTTTCAGGTGCCTGCAGAACAAGAAGGTTAAAAACTTGAAACTGATAGTTCTCCCAGGGCATGGAGGGAGCATCTATTGACACAAGTCTACCTGTGGAGATTTGGGACTTGTATCTAAGTCTGCTTCATGCTCAGGGCTCTAACCCAGGCCACGTGGGGTGGGGGGCAGGTGGGAAGTGAGAACCAGGAGAGGAGATTTCCAGAGTATCATTTAATATAATAGATGTGATAAAATACTAGTTTTCTTTTTCCACTGGTTACATGCTCTACAGTGATTCTATATTATCCTATTGAAATGGTATCCATTACTTTACAAAACTGAGATACACTGCTGCTATTACTGCCTTTCTCAAATGGAAAAGCATATTAAGCGCTATAGGAATGGTAGACATTATTATGAGAAGTTTTATTTCTATTTCAATTTATTCAAACTTGTCTTATTAGTTTATCATTCCACTGGAAGAAAATTGATTCTTTAATATAAACTAAATATTCAGACTATGAACTCATCCAATAACTTAAATTTCTTATAATTTCTGTTTCATTTGTATTACAAAACGGCATTTCCTGTAGCCCACATGAGATTTACCAAAAGACAGATTAGTATAGTCATTTTAGGGTATTATTTTAAAGCAAAATGCACATTTTGAAAATGACTTAGAATTATCCTGAACTCATAAAACTGAGCGAGGCCTCTTATCCTGGTACTATCACAAGTAATTAATTCCTGTGGTTGATACTGCCTCACAGAGGATACTGAAAGGGCAGAACCTGACCAAAGGTACAAGGCTCCCCACCCTCAAATTGTAAAGAGACCTCTAAGCAAAACAATTCCACTTATTCCACACTTGAACTTGTAAACTAATACACAGAATATGTCAAAAGGGATTTTATTAACTACTTTGTTTACCTATTACAATGGTTAATAAAATAACCAAAGGCATTTAAGTAAAGTTTCTGGGGCTCTAAACTAACATAAGTCGGAAAGGAGTTAGTCTATACTGTCTGAATCTTATGACTTCCTGTACTTAAAGATTATAAAGAAGTGACTTGTCAGCCTCTTTCCTTCAAATCTAGTTATGGCAACTTTGTCAACCCTTTTTTTTTACCATTGCCACTTCATGTAATTCAATGAATTTATTGCCTTCTTCAAGTCTTTTTCCTAAATTTATCCATTTTATCCAAAGTGAAGGTATATTAGGAGTTCCTTGTTTAATGTAAATTGATAATTTAAAAAATTTGTTCTATCTTAAGCCTTAAAATGGATGCTTACTAATATAAAAACCCTTTTAGAGTACCATAAAAATTCAAACTCCACTATCTCAAATGCCTTTTTTCCTTTTACCTGCATCAGATCTTTTCCTTTTCCCTGACAACTAACACTTAGTGTTGTCATCATTAAGGACGAATCATCTTTAGGGTATCTAATGCATATTTTCAGATGCCTGTTTTCTGTAACCTCTCTTTGATCAAAAGATAAGTGGTTTAAAATTCTGGCTTCCAAGTGACATCAGTAAATATTTTATAACTTAGTTTAACATGGAAAGGAGGCTCCTTGGTTCTTTCCTAACCAAAAAATATGATAAGGGCCTTTATCTTTCATTTTTTTAGGCAAACCTTTTTTGAAATAGTTCACAGTGCTTTGAAACTTTTACTTAGTGTTATAAAATATACTTATTTCAAAGAGGCTCAGTATTTTGAAAATTATTTAAAAGTCTGACATTCTGTTTTATAAAGTGCTGCCCATTTTATTCTTATTTGGTGGACTAACCAATTGGAAAACATTGAATACATAAGCAGAAAAAAAAAATCATGGTGCTGAGTAATTAATGTGCACCACCAAATGCAGAACCCATATATTAGCCCAAGTTTGAACACAGGACAAAGGGCACTTTAGGAAAAATAATCATTATATGTTTTCTTTATTAAGATGAGTTTGAGGAAGTAATATATACTTTTGTAGTAACTGTAACATGTAGAGGCATGATGTTGAAAGTCTTGAATAAGCAGGAAGAAAGGAAAGCATGAAAAAATAAGCATATGTTCTGGACTTTAGCCAAATCAATCAGTTCTAAAACGATAAAATGCTAGCTTGTTATAATTGTTCATGATAGGAAAAAAACGTGCAATTCATTCTCAAAGATAACTGTCACCTATAATTATGCCTTGTCCCAATAAAATCTTTTAAAATAGTGAAATTTATGGAATCATACCCAATGTGTGTGGCTTCTGTCCTTCCTTCACCAGTGAATACACATCTTGCTGCCAATATGTCACCAAAACTAATATCTACTGGGTGTTCCACAGGGTAGAAGGCCTGCCAAGAAGACAAACAAAGATTCATTAAAATTACCAATAAAACTCAGAACCACATGCTTCAATAAATGTGAGGCTTGGAGCACCCTGGATAGAAAGGAGGAAGACACACACCAACACCACCAACCACCACCACCACCACCACCACCACCACGTTTAGAAATATTAAAAGAGAACTGATAAGGAAACCAGCAAGATGGAAGTTGTAAAAAACGAGGTTATACACAGCTCATGTACAGTGAAGGTAGATTTAGAGATGTTTAGATTCTAGAGACATTCACAAGGGTTCTACAAGAGTTTTTAAAATTACTACCTGATGATTAATATTTTTTTCTTTCTCAAAATTAAACTATATTCTACACACCTGTGGCAGCTGGGGGCTCTGGCGTCCAATCAGTGTCCACTGTTCATTTCTCACTCTGTATCCACTTACTACCTTACCTGCAATGAACACAAATTATAGTCATATAATATAATAAGGTACTAGAAAAATAAAAGGCATTATTTACCTTCCATTTCAAAATAAAATCTGGATATTTTCAGAGGCCAAAACGCTAGGTATTTTAATGAAAACAATATGATGAAAAAACATACAAAAATTCAAAAGATGGAGCAAAATCCCTTTCATTGAAATAGATTTAATGTCAAACATTTTACATTTTACATTTTTAGCATGAGGATGTACAATGGTAAATATTTATAATTTAACATGTAGTTTAAAGTTCTTACCTAAACGGTGAGTGTGAACTCTATAGGCAAAGACATGCATTGGATACTTTTTATAATGACATGAAATGTCAGAATTCACCACTGTGAGAAATGAAAATCAGAAAAAAGTCATTATTCAACTGGAAAACAACATGATCCTTCTCTACAAGTACGTACAGGGTATTCACAGGCTGCTAGGCATGGGGGTTTTCTTCTGAGGTAAACACCCACCCATATACTCAGCAGACACTAGGCACTTACTATGTGCCAGTCACTTTACAAAGATGGGTTAAGGTCCCCTTACCTTCACATTTTGTTTCATTCATAAACAAAATAACTAGGGACAAATCAAAACACCCTCTCAGTGAAAACATTGGCTTAATTTGTTACATTAATTGTGCAATTTAGGGAGTTGAAAAAGCTTAAAAATTTGTTTTTATTTTTAAAACAGAAGGACTTTTGAAAAATTGTTTGGAAACACCTAAGAGAACTAGATTCACAGTTCCTGTTGAGAAGGGACCATTTCACATGCTTTTCTAACCTTACAGTACAGAATAACACATAGTAACTATTCAATAAATACATCTTTTATAATAAGTGAATGAATATTTACAATGAGACCATACTTGTCACTAACTTTAAAATATTTCCAGTAAAAAAGCAAATAAAAAATGTTCAATATGGCACTATCATCAGAGATCAGATACAATGATAAATAATATTATACTTATTCCAATAGTTTTTTTTAAGTTTAATAAAAATAGCTATTATTATCCCCATTTTACAAATGGGGAAATAAATCTAATATACGTAAGTTCAAAGACTGAATCGCTGTTAGATTTGCTAGCTTCTTGATTTTGAACCTGATATTCTCTGCAGTAGTTTATGTGTGCCACAGTACGTTATGATCTTGTCTCTGGCATCTAAAGAATAGATGATTGATTTGTAAAATACTTCAGATTTATTCTTTAATTTGCATAACCCACCATGTACCCATGGGCCTCAATTCTTAGCATCTTGATAAAAGAATGTAAGATAATGAACTACTGGCTTGGAATAATAAAAACATCTATTTTAAACCCAAAGGTAATAAAGAATTGGTTTATTTTTCAGGGACACAAAAATATTGGTCATTTCAAATGTTTATAAAAAATATACTGTAAATTTCTATAGATTAGGTAATGAGGTAATGGTAAATACTAAAAGATCACTACTCACCTTTCTCTCCTGCTGGTATAACAGTGTCAACAGACATCATAAGGTACATGCCAGCAATTAAAGGCTGCCTGCAGAAAACAGTAACATTGATCAAAGTAGAAACTATCGCCTTGGAAAAATAAGATATATTTCAATGTATTGGTCTATAAAATACGTCTATAAAAATTTTCATGTGAAAATCATAACAAAATAAAATGGAGAAGTAAAATATATACATTTTTTTTAAAAAATAACTTATTTTGGGGGGCAAATAGCTAAACACACATGGTAAATGTAGAAGGCACCAAGTAAATGGCTCCTGTGATGATGAAGTGTATGTATATGGTGCCCAGCTGTTTGGTCAAACAGGAGTATAGATGATGCTGTGAAGGTATTACTTAGATGTGATTAATATTTATTTATTTATTTATTTATTTATTTATTTATTTATTTATTTATTTATTTATTTATTTATTTTTGCTATAGGGCTTTTTAATATTTAGATGTGATTAATATTTAAATCACTGACTTTGAGTAAAGTGGATTACCGCCCATAAGGTGGTGGCTCTCCAGCAAGAAAAGACTGAGTGAGAGTCCCCTGAAGAGGAAGGAATTCTGCCTCCAGGCTGCCTTTGGACTCAAGACTGCAATACAGACTCCTGCCAGAGTTTCCAGCCTGCTAGCCTGTCTTTCAGGTTTCAGACTTGCCATTCAGGTTTCAGACTTGCCAGCCCACACCACCATGTATGTAAGCCAATTCCTTAAAGTGAATCTCTCAATCATTCTCTCCCTCCCTCTCCCTTTCCCTCTCTCTGATACATGAGTATATGTATTAACATTCTATGGTTCATTTTCTCTGGAGAACCCTGACTGATATAACAGGTCCCAGTGATTCCTAGCTCTGACATTCATGCCCTTGTCTAATCTTCTTCCCTTGAATGTAGGCTGACCTAGTAATTGGTCCAGTAAATGGACCTAGTAATTCGTTATTTCTAACAAACAGAATATAGCAAAAGGGATTTCATGGTTTTTTTCCCATAGGAGTCAGACTATGAAGATAATATGGCAACTATGTTCTTCACCTATCAGACATATATTATTTAATAACTTCTGAGATTCGGCTACAAAAAAGACTCCGGCTTCAATCTTGCATAGCCTCTCTCGCTTTCTCCCTTGCTGGCTGTGACAGAAGCTAGCTGCCATGTTGTGAGCTGCCTTGTTTAGAACCCAAATAGCAAGGAAGCGAGGAAGTCCTCTAGCCAATAGCCAGAGAGAAACTGAATCCTGCCAATAGACATGTGAGTGATCTTAGAAGTGGCTCTCCCCTGCTGGGGCCCCCAGGTGACTGAAACACTGGTCAAGAATGAGACCACCATCCACAGCACCCAGCTAAGCGGTGCCCAGAGTCCTGACCCACAGGAGACAATCAGTATTCACTGTTTTAAGCCACTAAAAGTTTAGGCTAATTTGTTATACAATAGATAACTAATACAGTGGACTTCCCACTTTTAAGTGCTCAAAGATCTTCAAGCTATCACTCAGCTATGATCACAGGAAGTACTCACGGCAGGCGTGTGAGGTGTAAGGACACACCGGAACAATCCTTGTGATTATCTGAAAACACACACAGACAAAATACACATCTTAAATATGAAAACATAAAACATGGATTTCGAAATGATATTAAGTGATTATAGCTCAATACTAAAAAAAAAACCTATATGTTTCATTTGTAGGTGCTTTATATTTTACAGAGTACTTTCATATTCATGAATTCATTTAATCTACAGTATATCACAACCGCAACAACAAAACTATCATTTCAAGCAGTTTGTGGTTATTTTCTTGACTCATCAAACTGACCAGTTATCTGCTTTCCTGCGGACATACTAGATGCTGGTCATAATCTCACAGAAGAAAGTTGTTGCTACTCTCTATGCATTTTTCATATTGTTGAAACATTCAGAAAAAATTGATGAACTGAATGATTTGTTCTGTGGGGCTCCAAACAGCTAGCTTTTCTATTTTCCAAAAACTAAAGTAGTCCATTATTTGGACTTTCAAGGTAATACCATTTTTAGAGTCTGTAATGTCTCAAATTTATGTATAGAAATCACCTTGCTTGGTTTCTAAGCCTCACCCATTCCCACCTTTGGGAAAGAAACCCGATACTCATTTTTTTACACCATAACATCAGTGGAAAGCCTCTGAGTATCTCTATCTTTGTGAAGGACACTTCAGAAACCTCTTACAACCTCTTTCTTCGGTCTTCCTTTGCTTTCCCCAAGTAGTTTTAAGGTAAAAATTTCAATTACTCATCCAAATTCTTACCTCTGTTGAACTTGCTTATCTCTCACCACAGAGACCATGAATAGTACACACTTACTCATTCCTTCTATTTCTGTCTATGTTAAATGCTTTCGACTTCACATTTTAATCTGAGTAATAATGATAAAACTTTATATCTCAATTTTGAATTGATTTTAATAGCAATAACTATTGCATGTGTGTGTGTAAGACATAGATTTATACTAGAAATTAAGAAGTGAAGTGTGCTAACAAATAACAGCAGGTGGAATAGATTTTTTTGAGGCATTTTCTTTTCTTTTAGCTGGAATTCTCATGAGATAAGCAAAGGTAGCTTCCTCTAGAAATATATAACAGATAACTAATTTGCATTTCATTTACAATACAGTTTAGTAAGCATAACAAATCATATTTAATACTTTGATAATTAAATACAAAGATTTCTCTGTATAGTATTGAGTTTGTTCTTAACAAAGATAGTACAGAAATAAAGTCAATGATAAACATTTTATATTTAAACAGTTGGGGTGTTTTTGTTTGTTTGTTTTTGTCATTTTACAAAGGGATCTCTAATACCCTAAATCAATTTCAGTGAGGTGCTATTTTCATAATAATTTCAGTGAGTTTTTAATTTCAAAAGAGTTTTAAAGAGAAAATAGTAATAGCAGTAATAAATAATAACCAGTTTAATCTTATTTTGTCTATACTTTTAAATATAGAAAGCATAATTGAATACTGTTTTTCAATTTATTTAAAATTATTTTTATTTTTGAGAACAAGTTTTCCTAAATATATTGCATGAGATTTAGTAAATGTGCCTAGTCTTCAAAATGACTTCACTAACAATTATTTAAGTATCTCCACTGATCAAAAGAGCATGGTGGAAAGTATACCATTCATTCATACCAAGTGAATTCTAAACTCCAGAGGCTCACCTAATTAGCCTAGGTGATTTCTGAAAACATTTCTCATTTGTATAAAAAACATCATACCTATCTAATAAGGTTATTTTGAGAAACAGAAATCATCCATTCATTCCATTAATGTTTCTTGGCAATTGTGATATTTGGGCACTGTTCTATATGCTGTGGATGTAGTGAAAACCAATATATTCAAGTTCCCTGCTTTCATGTGCTTATGCTGTAATGGGAGTGGAGAGAGAGAGATATGTGGTAGGAGGAATAGGAAAAAATAAAACACCAAATATATGAACAAGATAATGATACACAGTGAATTCAACAGAATAAGTGATAGTGGGTAGCTGCTGTTTTATCTACTGTGGTCCAGAAGGATTAAGGGGCCATGAGGCAGGAGATTGTCCATGCAATGCAGAGTGTGTTAAAAGTCTGGGTTTAACTCTGTCTGTTAAGAAGCCATTAGAAGATTTTAAGCTATAGAGCAAGAGCAAAGGATCCTATAAAGTGTTCACCTAGCACAGTACCTGGCACTTACCGGTTACTTACTAATTACTGAATGTCGGGTTTTCCAATTTTTTATTTTAAGTAATGATACTGGGAGAGAGTTTTTTCCTCATACGATGTCTACCCAACAAAAGGGTCAATGTGCGATGAGAATTGTCACTTGGTTTTATATTACATCTTTGCATTGAAAGAATCAAGTTAATCACATTTTGATCTCCACCTTGGCTGATGTTCTTTACCACGACTTAAAAAAAATTATATGGGAGAAATCAATCAATAAATTAACACATTTCAGGAACTACTAAAGAAGATTATCGTCAAAGCTGCAATGTGTCACCAAGTTAAAAGCTGCAGGAATGGTACTAACAGTCACATGCCAGCTATTGCCATGAACAGTGCACCTTCCTGTTAGATAATGTTCTTTAGTAGAACCGTCTACATTGAGAGCTTTTTACTCAAAAAAAGCAGAAAAAAAAGTCAAAAACAAATTTTAATTTGAAGATATTTTTATAGCCAACTTATCAAAGTTTTCTCCAAATTAAATAATAGCCATTACTATATAATTGTTGTCCATTTGCTTCCCTCTAGAGTTTTAAAAGTGAGCCACAGAATAGAGTCAATGGAATTGTAATAGATATATATGATGTTAGAGGGGCCATAGATTGGGGGACAGGAGTTATCACTTTGTGAGGGGTAAAATGTCTAACTGTTACATTGTTTTGTATACCTGAAACTAATAAAAAAAAAGAAAGAATAAAAAAAGAGAGATAGAAAGAGCAACAAGCAAAGTATAAGAAGGTGAGGAGCTCAAACAGCAGAGGGGGGAAAGAGAGACTTCAGAAAGAAGAAGGGAGAAGAGATCCTGAGAAAGAAGTAACAGTTGCTGTATGGAAACAGAAAAAAATAGAAGGACGAGGAATTTCATGTTGTGATGTGCAATGTAATCCTTCCATGAAATCTGCAGTAAAAATGTGTAAGGGGTTTCAATACAAAAACAAAACAAAACAAAACAAAACAAAACAAAACAAAAAGTGAGCCACAGTCTCCCCACTGAGTCCACTGCAAAGATATAGTACCAGGTTTTATTTTAATTCCACATGTTTATGAACTAGATGCATATCCTATAAGGAAGTCAAGGATGTCTGACACACGATAACAAAACAGCTAAAACCTCATTCAGTAACATGAGATGATCACCGCATTCTGGAAAAAAAATATACTGAACTTCTGATTTACATAGTCCATAACATAATGACTTTAGGGAAAGTTGAATTTTAGAGACTGTAAGTTTTGTTTTATACAATATAAATCTTATATGGGTAGAGGGCTGGTGAATATAAAGATCCAAAGTGAAAATCTTGCCTGTTTTACAAAAAGCTCCTCAAATCAAAATATGCACACGGAATATTAGTGAGGAGATACACTTAAAAAAACCCCACCACACTAGTGTTTCTAAGATATCGCTGTGGGAATTTGTTTACATCAAATTTATGTGGTCAGTTTGATCCAGTGAATCAGCAAGAAATGAGGCATTTTTAAAAACCATGCTGTGTTTGGTTGTGTGTGTGTATGAGCATATAGATATTATGGTTCAAATTATGGATAACACTTCAGATTCTCATCATTATTTAACCATGGAGTGATGGAATTATATACAAAGCTAACTGTGTGATGTTAAGAAATTCTGTGATTTAGTAATGGATAAATACACATTTTAACAATGATATTTTAACTGATCAAAAGTCTAGAAGTTATCTCAAAGTAAATACTCATATACATTTTTAGATATTATCAGAGTCAGTTCTTATTCATATGCTCATTATTTTAAAATCAAATTTTATTATTATAATAAACGATTGAAACCTTCTCCAGCACAACTTTCTACAGTTTAACCTGAAGGGCCATGGGCTTGCATGTACACACGATGAGAAGTCCCAGTGGGAGCCACTTGAACTCCCTCATACAAGGTGGTCTGGGGGTCTGAAGGGCTCCTGAACACGTAGCTATTTCTATAGCAAGTAGCAGCTTTGGAGAGAAATATATTTCAGCCTAGTGTTTGGTGTGAAGATTATGACTTTCTAACTCCAACCTGATCCTTGCTGCATTGACGCGGAATTGAATATTATTTTCATAACCTCTACACTGATCTTACTTCTGGTGAACTCAGGAACTTCACCTAGTTTTGCATAATTTACTGATGATTCCCAGTGTTCTCTGACTTTGTCTGCCCTTCATTGTAACGCAGTGCTTTCGCCACAAGATATGAAGCCTCATAAGAATGACTTCATTTCCATTTACTAGGCTGTATATGAAATCTGTCTCTGACATGCATCATCATAAAAATGAGTGACATTTAAAAGGTCTATTATCATAAAGACATACATCAG